TTAAAATGTGAATTTGAAATCAGGTGACTCCATTACTTCCAGCTAATGTGGCATCGTAGGTGTTTTCTAAGTTTTAAGTCTTGGACAAAAAATACTAGTGTCTGCCATCTCCATCAGGAACTGTGTCATGGAAGCTGTTCCTATTTTTCATTCTCTTTCTCCATGTCTTCTGCACAAGTGTGCCCTCTTACTAATTCAAGAATAAGGTCTTGGAATCCTTAAGTCTTACAGTTAAACCAACGCAACTGCCTTTTTAAACACCTTGGGATAAATCAGAAGACCTCTTGCACCCACCACCAAACACTCCTAGCTTCAAAGTTTCACCTTTTTTTCTCATCAGGTACCAGTTGTAAATAAGAATGAACTAGGGGCCAAAATGCGAAACCAAAAATGAAGCAGCTATCTGTAGTTAGTAATTTCTAGTTTAAACTGTAACTGAACATTGTGGCTTCATATGTATTATTTTATATTGTACTTTGCCCATTACTGATGGTTTGGACTTTAATAAGAGAAATTCCATAGTTTTTAATATCGTAAAATGAGAATATTTGAACAGTGTATTCTAGAAAGCAATATACTAACTGAAGTGAATGCTTGTATATATTAAGATAGAGCCTTAAAACTTTCTCTCTAATGCCTTAACTGTCAAATAATTAAAACTTTTTAAAAGCCTAGGATTATAGTCAGCATGCTGGACTGAGAGGTAAACACTGAAGCCACTAGAGCAGGTACTGATGCTGTCAGTGTTTAGCACTGTGTGTTTAGCTGTGTTTATGCTAAAAAGTGCAATATTAGACACTAGCTAGCTAGTACTGCTGCCTTGTGCAACTCCAAAGAGGAAAACAGGATTTGATTAAGTGCTCATGTGTCTTTAAGTTACTCCTATTGTCCTTGGTTTTGATGCAGTGCCCTGCAGGCTTCTGTGGCTATTTTTATTTCCTTTGCATTATTTTGATTGACACCTTGAATGGAGAGCCAAACATTCCCTCTTCATCTGACCAGCAATGGCCCTCTAACTGTAGTAGGAAAAAACAAAACAAAGCAAAACACAACATTTGGTCTGAAAATTGGTGACAACTGGCACTTAAGATCAGAAAAAGAGTTGTTTATACTTGATGCCTTAAGATGCTGTCGGCCCAAAGCTCTGAGAGACTTTAAGATAGAAAGTAATACTTAACCACGGTACTAGAGTTTTCGTAGAATTGTTACATTTGATAATAAAACCCGCCTGTTTAATCTCAAAGCATGTGTGCTTTTTTTTTATTCCTGGAAGAGTTAGGGTCATGATGGGAGAGCATGGGTAAGCCATGTTTTTCCAAAGTGGTAAGGTTTTTCCCTGGTTGCCATAAGGGTTTGTAAAAGCCACCAAGGATAAGTGCACTCCAGGTACAGGTCAAACAACCCTACCCCCTGTAAAAAGATTTATTTATTTATTTATTTATTTGGGAGCAAGGAAAGGGAGAGGGAGAAGCAAGCTCCATCCCAGGACCCTGGGATCATGACCTGAACTGAAGGCAGCTGCTTAACTGATTGAGCTACCCAGGTGCCTCCCAAACAGCCATCCTTTAAAGCATAAATCACTGAAACTTTCATTCTGAAATGTTTAACTGTGACAACAGTGAGATCATTTTGTCCTTGCATTTTATTACTGGTGCTCTACTTGACAATCTAAAAACCTGCATAAGCCACAGAAAACTGAGAAGATGGAGCACTCTGTTTCTGAATTCCACACAGTCTTTATTCCAATTGCTCTTTGCCCATATGGATTTCCACAATATTCTCAAATCTGAATTTTATCTGTTCCTCAGGAGTACAGTCAAGGCTTGGCTGAGTTCTATTTCAGAGCTGTCCTATATTGTCGGGATCACTTGGCATACATAATCTTGTTACAGAGCTCGAGTATGTCAATTCTGAATTTGGATTATAACCTCACGGGTAAGAAGTATACCTGTATTTTCTCTGTCCAGCACATTTGCAGTCACTCAGCCCTTGTGAAGCATTCATGGGATAGGAAGTTTAATTCACCTGGGAAATTCTTTCAGTCCCAGTCCTTAATGTCATTTACAAAAATGGAGTCCTTTACGGTTTGTACTTCACCTTAGGGTGTCTGCTATCATCTGCAAGGAGCTGGCAGAGATCTCTGGCAAGCTGAGATTCTGACCCCCATTCTGTCCCTGGCAGGCTTTTAACATTGCCCGGGATATTCCTTGCTGTAACCAAAAAGTTGCCCGTGCTAAACTCGTTTTTCTATTTACCTCCCTGAGATGGCACACATGTGGCTGATCTCATGGCAGAAAAAAAAAAACTGGGTGTGGAATAAAGGAAGGAAAAAAATGAGCACAAAGAGGACCAGAATATGTATAAGACATTAAAGTTCCGTCTCTCAGGTTTATAGTTGATTGCACAATTTCTCTTTGCCCTACTTTCCCCAGCTATTGGGGACATATGAAAGTAGAATAATGAACACTTTGCACCCTTTACCTAGCTTCAACAATGATGAACTCCAGGCCCATCTTGCTTTATATCTCTTTCCATTTTCCCCATTGTATTATTTTGAACGAAATCCTTTGGGTCAAGTCTAAAATGGATCCTCGGTGCTTGGCTGGCTCAGTCCGAAGAGTGTGGGACGCCCAATCTCGGTCATGAGTTTGAGCCTTGTGTTAGGTGTAGATATGACTAAATAAAACAAATAAAGAGATCTCCAAGTTTAAAATAAAGCCACTGGGGCGCCTGGGTGGCTCAGTCATTAAGCGTCTGCCTTCAGCTCAGGTCATGATCCCAGGGTGTTGGGATCGAGCCCCACATCAGGCTGCCTGCTAAGCGGGAAGCCTGCTTCTCCCTCTCCCATTCCCCCTGCTTGTGTTCCCTTTCTTGGTGTCTGTCAAATAAATAAAATCTTAAAAAAAAATTAAGCCACTATAATAGGTGATGTTCTTGAGAAGAGTAGAAGAATAAAACTAAATTGGTAAGGGTGCCTGGGTGACACAGTTGGTTAAGCCCCTGCCTTCTGTTGAGGTCATGATCCCAGGGTCCTGGGATTGAGTCCCAAGTAAAAAAAATTGGACTATTGGAAATTCTCTGTTTATGGATGCTTTTAGTTCAAGGTTAAATCTGATCTGTTCATGCTGTAGTCTTATGTGCTAATGCAAGGAAACGCAGACTAGGCAGGAGATGATCCGAACTTTGAAGACCAGGGACGCCTGGGTGGCTCAATTAGTAAGCATCTGCCTTTCGCTCAGGTCATGATCCCGGGACCCTGGAATCAAGTCCTGCATTGGACTTCTTTCTCAGTGGGGAGCTTGCCTCTCCCTCTGCCTGCTGCTCCCCCTCCTTGTGCTCTCTCTCTCTCTCTCTCTCTCTCTCTCTGTTTCTAACACATAAATAAGAAAACTTCGAAAACCAAAGGCCATCAGGATGAAATTCAGGAATAAGTGCACTACGTGGGTGCCTTAGGGAGAAAACTATTTTTTCTACACGTTTTTTCTACACTGAAAAAAATAGAAAACTTTTTTCTACACTGCTTCCTTTGTGCTGAGTGACATAGTAAAAGCCAAGACCCCAATGTGTGGGCCTAGGGAAAAAAGGTTCAGAAGCAAATTACTTGACTTGCCCCTATCTTAGACTTAAATTTTGTCCTAATTTCACTGTAGTCCAACACAATTCCATTATGTGGAATGTGGAGAGATATGTGGAGCCAAAAACCAAGCTGGAACTCATTACATGGGAAGAATATACTGTGAACAACAAAACCACCACGGAGAACATGTATGTCCAACAGTAACAAGCATTATATTGGTTAAATGAATCGTCACAACAACCTATTATATAGCAGGTACTGCCATTATGACACTAGAAAATGGAAGCATCGGTCAAGTAAAACCTCACAGCTGCACAGAAAGTAAAGGGAGGGACCTGGAAAATAAGATTTGGAGACTGGGTAATGTGGTTGATATTCTCCTAGTTGCTCCTTTATCCACTTGGCTCTTTTTCTGAGCACAGCACAAATACTGTTTGTTGTTTACAATGTCACAAAGTAGGGCTTCAGAGTGTTCCTTGGGTCTGCCTTTCTACTTTATTGCCAGCATGCCTCTAATTCAGCCCCTGAATTATTCAGTAGCTGCATATTGTTTCTGTTCTAAAAGTGAATGTAGATAAATGGGTAACAAAGCTTCTGGCTACACATTTGAATTTGAGCCAATGTTTTATAACCCAAACCTGTATGATAGTAGAATTAAACACCAAAAACACATTTTTTTAAAGATTTTATTTGTATGTCACAGAGAGAGAGATCACAAGTAGGCAGAGAGGCAGGCAGAGAGAGAGGAGGAAGCAGGCTCCCCACTCAGCAGGGAACCTGATGTAGGACTCGATCCCAGGACCTGAGATCATGACCTGAGCTGAAGGCAGAGGCTTTAACCCACTGAGCCACCCAGGCGCCCCCACCAAAAACACATTTTAAAAAATTAATGTAGGGGCTCCTGTTTGGCTCAGTGGAGTGTGCAAGTTCGAACTCCACCCAGTGGAGTTCGAGCCTCTGGGTGCAGAGATTACTTAAATAAATAAACTTAAAAAAAAAAAAATCAATGTGTGGCCACCTGGGTGACTCAGTTGGTTGTGTCCAAGTCTTGATTTTGGCTCAGGTCATGATCTCATGGGTCGTGAGATCGAGCCCCGCTGAGATGGGCTCTGCACTCAGCGTGGAGTCTGCTTAAGATTCTCTCTCCCTCTCTCTCTCTCTTCCTCTCTTCCCTCTCTCTCAAATAACTAAATAAAATCTTTAAAAAATTAAAACCAGGAGCACCTGGGTGGCTCAGTGTGTTAAACATCTGCCTTCGTCTCAGGTCATGATCTCAGGGTCCTGGGATCGAGCCCCGCATCGGGCTCTCTGTTCCTTGGGGAGCCTGCTCTCCATCTCTCTCTGCCTGCCTCTCTGGCTACTTGTGATCTCTCTCTGTCAAATAAATAATAAAATCTTTTTAAAAAAAATAAAATCAGTGTGAACCGCTTCTCAGCCATTTGGCTAAGATCAAGCATAGTATCTGGTCCTATCAGTTTAATATCTGCTGTCTTTGTCCAAGGACAATGTTAAACGGACTTTCAGAGAAGGCACCTGGAATAGGAGTTTGTTCCATCCACTCCACACATCAGCCTGGTACTGCAGCACTTCTAGGAACCGTACACCCGCCCCTCCCCGGGGCGACAGTAGGAAAAAAAAAATTCGTCTGAAATTCTCAGCTTGTTCTGCTTCTAGCCTACCTGGTGAGTTATCTTCCCTACTTGATGTTATTTCTCCCAGTTCCTTCTTCAGCTACCTTTTCCTTCTTTTCAGTCTCTGGACAAACTCATTTTCTTCCACACTCCTCTGCTGGAGCTACAGACTTCTGTACCTAACACTAAAATGTTTCCAACTGGACATCTCCCCTGGCAATTCAAATTCAACATGCTTAAAATAGAACTTCTCTCTCTATGATCTCTGTGATGTGCTACTCCTTGTGTTCGGTTTACTTCAGGAAGCAGTGCCACATACCCCTGGATGCCAAAGTTAAGAAAGTTCTTTAACTTCCTCTTTCACGTGTTTTTTCCTCAATACTGGACTCTATCAAATTCTGCTTGCTTCTCTTGCCAAAATGCTTTTTAAAAACCCTTTCTTAATTACCACAGATCTGATTACATGGTCTTTAAAGATTTTATTTACTTATTTTAGAGAGAGAGACAGAGTGCGAGCTGTGCAGGGTCGGGGGACGACAGGGAGGGATAGAGGGAGAAACAGAAGATTTCAAGCAGACTTGCACTGTTCATGGAGCCAGATGCGGGGCTCAATTCCATGACCATGAGATCATGACCTGAATCGAAATCAAGAGTCAGACACCTAACCAACTGAGCCACCCAGGAGCCCCCAATTATGTTCTTTCTTTTTTTATTTTTTTTTTAAGAATTTATTTATTTATTTGACAGAGTGAGAGACAGTGAGAGAGGGAGCACAGCAGGGAGAGTCGGGGAGGGAAAAGCAGGCTGCCCGCTGAGCAGGGAGCCCGATGTAGGCCTCGATCCCAGGACCCTGGGATCACGACCTGAGCCCAAGGCAGACACTCAACAACTGAGCCACCCAGGTGCCCTGTTCTTTCTTTTTTTAAAAATGATTTATTTATTTATTTATTTGACAGCGAGAGATAGCAAGGAGGGAGAGGGGGAGAGGGAGAAGCAGGCTTCCTGCCCAGCTGGGAGCCCAAAGCAGGGCTCAATCCCAGGCTTGACCTGAGCGGAAGGCGGATGCTCAGCGATTGAGCCACCCAGACACCCCTGTATGTTCTTAAAAAAAAAAAAAAAAGTTACTGAGGTCTGACTGAAATACAAAAAGGGGCACATATTTAACATAAACAACTCAGTAAGTTTGAGTTAAGTTTACACAGGTGAAAACCATCACCACAATCAATGCCACAAACATTCATCCCCTCCAAAAGTTTCCTCCTGGCCTCTTTGTTTTTCATATGTGTGCGATAATAACACACATAATGATTACATGTTCTTAAAAATCTTTTGAAGGAAAAAAAAAAATCTTTTGAAGGTTCCCATTTGCTGCAGGAAAAACCCCTCCCAAGTATGGCCACGTGATACTGCATGGGCTGCCTCCTGCTACTTGCTGAGCTTTATCCAAGACACTCATCTCATATGCTACATTTTGTTGTACTTTTTCTAGTCCTTTGCCATCTTTGTCTGAAACAACTTTTTTTCCCCTCTTATTCCTCTCTTCACTGACCAATTGCTATGCAGAAATAATTGCCTGAGGAAGGTCTTTCCTGATTCCCTAGATCTCCCTATAATCAGCTTCCTAGCTATTGTAACTTTCATCAGAGCAATGTGTAACTCCTTCCCCACTGTATCCTTAGTGACTAGCCCCTGCTTGGGATATTTATACATAATACCTGTTTGTTGAATGAACAAGTTTAAGTTCATTCCTGAAGGGGAAAACTAATGTGATTCTAAAAAATAATAATAATAATAATTACATACAGCTTTCAGAATTTTCATAAATTTTTATGTTGCTAAACAGAAAAAAAATTGTTTTTCTTTAACACCATTAAAAATGTTAAAATGAGGGGTGCCTGGGTGGCTAAGTTAGTTAAGCGTCTACCTTTGGCTGGGGTCATGATCTCAGGGTGGTGGGATCGAGCCCTGTATTGGGCTCCCTGCTCATTGGGAAGTCTGCTTTTCCCTCTGCACCCACCTTGTGCTTGCTCTCTCTCTCAAATAAATAACAATCTTTTAGGGGCGCCTGGGTGGCTCAGAGGGTTAAAGCCTCTGCCTTCAGCTCAGGTCATGATCCCAGGGTCCTGGGATCGAGCCCCGCATCGGGCTCTTTCCTTGGTAGGGAGCCTGCTTCCTCCTCTCTCTATCTGCCTGCCTCTCTGCCTACTTGTGATCTCTCTCTGTTGAATAAATAAATAAATAAAATCTTAAAAAAAAATAACAATCTTTTAAAGATGTTAAAATGCATTAGTCCAGTTATTAATGGTATACTTTTTACATTGAAATACACATCCAAGGAGACAGTTTGGTATAAAATTTACCTACGCATGATGATTTTGGCTGCTTCTGCCATCTACTGGACATGTAGTGCTACTGGCTCATCGGGGTCCTATTCTAAGATTCCAGTTTAGATTAGATATCTAAAATTCCAATAGGATTTTTAAATTGTATCTATATCTAAGTCATGTCATAATTGATTTTTTACTGTATCTTAAAAATAAATGTTATGCCAATTCCCCTATTACACATAAATTGTTACATTGCTAAGTCACAATTTTGGTGGGAAACAACCCCCCCCCCAAATCATTCTGCTCTTTTGGTTTTAAGATCCCTATAATTTGCAAGTGTGATTAGTTCTCAACATGGCAGGTCTAGATATGTCTGATAAATTTTTTTTAAAGATTTTATTTATTTATTTGACAGACAGAGATCACAAGTAGGCAGAGAAGCAGGCAGAGAGAGAGGAGGAAGCAGGCTCCCTGCTGAGCAGAGAGCCTGATGTGGGGCTCGGTCCCAGGACCCTGGGATCATGACCTTGCCAATGGCAAAGGCTTTAATCCACTGAGCCACCCAGGTGCTCCTGTCTAATAAATTATGACTTGAGAAGTGATTCAGTGGTCACTCCGAGGCTGTACTGGGCCAATGCAGGTCTTGCCCGAGTCCTTTACAGCATGGCAAAACAGCAGAAACAACTTCATACATTAGGGTTTTAGAAATGACAGATTTTGTTACTGAATTTGTGCAACTGATATACTCAGAGTCTGCCTGCTATCTAACGGCCTTCCCTCTATCGTAAGAAAGAATTTAATGTGTTAATTACATGTTCCCAGAAGGCTTGAAAGCAATCAGTGTTGGGTGGCTTTGAATGGGGCAGTCTGAATTCATATAAATAGAGCTGCCAGAGTTAGCAAAAATGAACAAAACACTAAGCCAAACTGAAGAATAAACCAAATACTCAATTAAATGGAAATTTCAGACAAACAACAGATAATTTTTAGTATTAAATATGGCTGAATATTATATGGGACATAGTTATACTAAAGCGTCCTGTATTTTATCTGGCAACTCTAATATAATTCAAATCAATTCAACTTCACAAATATTTAGAGGGCTTACTACCTGAAAGAAGAGAGGAAACAATCTTGGGACAAAGTCAGCAACCTGTGTCTTTACTAAAATCGCTTTGCTGGGAAAATCTCGATAATAGACCACTAAGTTCCAATAAAGTTTTGCTTTTATTTTTCTTAAGATTTTACATGGGGGTAGGGGAGTGGGAAGAGGTAGAGGGAAAAGAAGTAGACTCTCCACGGAGCAAGGACCCGCATGCCGGGCTTCATCCTAGGACCCCCAGGATCATGACCTCAACTGAAGGCAGCCACTCAACCGATCTAGCCACCCAGACACCCATTTTGCTTTTATTAATGAGTATTGTCTCACATGACCCATTAGGTCAAACATTTCTTTCTAGAGGAGTTTTAACTCTAGAAAAGAACTGAACTTTAGAAAATCTCCTAGGGGCTCCTAGGGGCACCTGGGTGGCCCAGTGGGTTAAAGCCTCTGCCTTCAGCTCAGGTCATGATCCCAGGGTCCTGGGATGGAGCCCTGCATTGGGCTCTCTGCTCAGCGGGGAGCCATCTTCCCTTCCTCTCTCTCTCCCTGCCTCTCTGCCTACTTGTGATCTCTGTCAAATAAATAAATAAAATCTTTAAAGAAAAAAAAAGAAAATCTCCTAAGATGTCTAATATGTTCAATTTTTAAAATATTTAAATAGAACACATTTTTTTAAAAAGATATTATATATTTATTTGACAGAGAGAGATCACAAGCAGGCAGAGAGGCAAGCAGAGAGAAAGGGGGAAGCAGGCTTCCCACTGAGCAGAGAGCCCAATTCGGGGCTCCATCCCAGGACCCTGAGATCTGGACCTGAGCCGAAGGCAGAGGCTTTAATCCACTGAGCCACCCAGGCGCCCCTAGAACACATTTTTTTAAAAAAAGATTGTATCCATTAGAGAGAGAGGGAGAGAGCACAAACAGGTGGAGGGGGAGAGGGAGAAGCAGGCTCCCTGCTAAGCAGGGAGGCCCCAACATGGAGCTCAACTGTGGGGCTTGATCTCAGGACCCTGGGATCATGATCTGAGCCAAAGACAGATGCTTAACTGAGCCACCCAGGCGCCCCTAACTAGAACATACATTGTTTAGTCTATCCCACTTGGGAGGATTATATATTTCACAGTTTGACCTTGTTGGTTTGTATGATTGTTGCTCTCCCAGTCAGTGGAAAAGGACAGTAAGTCCTTACGATGAGTGACAATAGGGAAAATGTATTCAGTAGGCATGGAAGCTCAGCTTCAAACAATGAGGAACAGTGAGGAACAAGTTGAGAAGCAACTGCAGTTGCAACTGACAGTCTAAACCTTGATTCCTCTTTTAAAGAAAAGGTAAAGGGAAGAAAATCCCACATTAATCCAAAATCACAACCAGAATTAGTGAACAAAATAGCTTCAAATCAAGGGATAGTTCTGATGGTGATACAGAATATAAGATTTATGTTGGTCTTCTAAGTCCCACCTACAGCTAATACTTGCTATTATCATCAACTTTTAATTCAATTCTCAAAATATTTGTCTATAGTGTTTGTCTGTTTTCAAAGACTTGAAAG